TTAGTTCTCAAATAAGTAATTATAGTAACACAAAATACTCCTATAGTATTTTAAGTTTATGTTTTGTTCTATTGTTATCATTGTAATAGTGTTGGTAAGTTTTTAGACTTGTTGCCATATCACAACCAGTCCTGGGCATATGCTAATCACTTCTCGGACCAGCATAGTTGATCAGGCTATGCCATTCCCAGAACTGACCATACATCCCCAAGCCTACCTGTGATATTCAACAATCGAAATACTTTTGTTCTATCCTAGTGACACTGATTTTAGTATGAATACAGGTATGTATACTTAGTTAAATATTTTATTATTTAAAAGTATAAACTCTTGGTCAGAGTATTTTAATCCCGTTGTGTTTATAGTGTGTATATCTTTTATGGGTTGATATACTCAATTCACTATAAACAATGCTCTGATACCAATCTGTCACACCCCAAAATCGGAACGACAGAAACATTCGGGGGTGGAGGACGTCATGTATAGTATCACAACAAAGCATAGTAGTAAACAAGCAACAACATCATCCATTGCATTAATAATATAATTTTATACAAGTGTATTCTGTGAAGTTTATAAGACATCAAAATGTAAATCAAAATAAGAGATGGGTCTTGAATGAGCTCCATCTTCTCAAAACCTGGCATCGGTATCTGTCTACTGATGACCTGAGAATACAAGTTGTTTTGAAAGAGTTTATCAGCATTAAAGCTGGTGAGTTCATAAGTATTTTAGTGTCATTGTTTGCATCAAAATGTTTGTAACAGTGTTTGAAATATGAGTTTGTAAACGTTTGTAGTAAAAGTATGTGAATGTTTGTAAATGTTTGTAACTCCTAGAAAATCCTATATTTTCTACTAAAAGTAGCCTTCTACCAAGGCCCAACTGTTTTGTATGTTCGTTTCTTGTAAAAGTGTGTAATTTTCCCACGTGTGACTATCATTAACAAAATATAGTTTATACATTACCGTTTACGTGAAAAGATCACAAAGCGAATGCAATGGGAAAATGATATGGTACTGTAGTTTGTATGTGGAAACTACCTTAGTACTACTTATCTTAAAGCCAATGAATTATAAGATAAGGTGAGATTTGTAACCATACTGATTGACGGCTGTAAAACACGACGATGAAAGACGTCGAAATAAATGTGACATTTGTCACTCCTTGGCTTGGTCGGCCAGGGACTGTAGCTAACAGTCGAGGTGCGGGATAGTCTGTCCCGTATAGATCTATACACACATTGCCCGCTCTCCCTCCAGGAGACTCTGGTTACTAACATGACAACTGTGGAATCCGCGTCATGTAGATGTAAATCTCATATTCTAATTGTTAAGTTGGTGTATGTTCCTTCTGTTTACTTGTAACAGTATATGTAATCTTTCTCATAATAGTAAATTCTCTTAGTTTCTCATCATAGTATAGTTGTATAGTTTCTCATAATAGTATGTTCTCTTAGTTTCTCATCATAGTATAGTTGTATATTTTCTCATAATAGTATGTTCTCTTAGTTTCTCATCATAGTATAGTTGTATAGTTTCTCATAATAGTAAGTATTGACTCATGAATGAACTGACTCTTTGTATGCTTCATTGGACTAGTAGTAATGAGTAGTATAACCCTAACTATACCTATTATAGTTACTAGTAGAATCGTTTGTATGACTGAATGTATTGAACTGAGATAAAAGTCTTTATATCTATACATATATACATAATATATAACTAAGGATCCAATGACACTCGGACAAACAACAGGGTACTCTAAGTCCACAACCAAACAAGGAACAGGAAATAAAGTGAGTTGGCAGTCCTAAGTCCTTCAATCCTTACTTATATAACTATATATGTAATAGACATGGTTTTAACAATATATAAGTTTAAAATCTGAAATAGAAAAGGTTTGGTACATAAAAGTGAGTTTAGTAAAGAGTTTAACATGTAAAAGGGTTTGATAAGCAGTTTGAAGTCATTTGGAAAAAGGATTGAGTCACATGTGTCACGAAATGCTTTTCCCTCTAAAAATCTCATAAACACTTGAGGTTATCACGACATTTCCTAATACAATGCAAAGAGACATATTACTACATGTTTTCAAGTTTACTACTTTTAGAAACTTAATGTTGATATTAAAACTAGGTTTATGTTCATTTTCATTTGAGTTTTAGAATTTATTAGTTTGATCGTTGTTCAGCTTTGAGCGTAAAGTAGAATCTACTATTCCAAATGGGATAATATCGGAGAACCTCGAAAAAAGACTTGATTTTCCACAACTTTATCTCTCTGTAGCATTGTCAAATTCTAGCTAGAGTAGTTGTTACAGCCCTTGCAAGACAGGTGAACACTTTTGTTCAAATTTAATTTTGCATCGAAAAGTCATCTTAGGCTTTAAGGTTTGGCTTAAATCATCTATACCTTAGGATAGTTGGAAAATGAGACTCAAATGTGTATTTTACATCTTTTCATTCTTGGTTGTGTTTACCTGACTTATTTTAATTCAAGCACACACACACACTCATAAGTTACATAATACACATGGATACAATGACATATTAGTTTAGTCTTTTACATGAATACATACACATAGTTTTGAACATACCTATGTATCATTTTTGTGTACTTATTAAGAGTTGATTTCTAGAAGTTATTAAGGTCTAACAACTTTCACAAATGGCTACAAAAGACAGAATCAATGGAAGACACAATAAAAGTTACTCATGATGATTTCCATGACAAAAACCACCAACATACAATTAACCCTCTATTATAGTGTTTAACCAATAAATCATGAAAAATAAATCAACAAAACATTAAATGAACAAAAAAACCAAACCCTAAAGGCTGGGAATCGACATCGAATCCAGTCACAAGCACACGATAAGTTGCGGTAATTTTCTGGTGGTATGGGGTGATGGATTGATTGTAAAAAGCTGCATATTACAATTTAAACACATAAGAAAGATGAAGACTAAGGATTTACGAGGTTTTGGTGTTCGATTCTTCATAGCCACCAAGCAATTCTCGTCAATCTCTCTCTCCCGTCTTGCAATCGCTGCCTTGGTCTTTCTCCCTCGCTCTTCTCTATTTTCTTCTCCCTAATGGCCGACATATGACACACAACAATTGGGAGTAGTCTTCATCACAAGTTCAAGCCATGTGAAGGAAAAGAACGGATGCAAAGCATACAAACTTGTCAATGCCTCTCTCTCTCTCTCTCTCTCTCTCTCTCTCTCTCATTCAATCGACTTTCTTTTTCATTTGCACCCCGATTGATCGATAGATGTTTGGCATTAAATAAAATCAATTATGTACGTTGAATTTATTCTTTTGGAGTTGTAGCGTCACTTACAACTTTGGTCCCTAAAAGTTTCTTGGAATATCTCTTTGGAACACTCAAACACACCAATTTTAACACTTTAAGGAATATCAATATCACCCCCTTGACCTTATTTTCGTTATAAAATGATTTTATTTATTTTATTTCAATTTATAATTATAAACCAAAATCATTTACAAAAATAGTTATTCGAGTAACGAAATGTACATCATTAACAAAAGGATATATTTTTAGGTCATTACAACATGTCATATTATGCTACATTAGGCTACAGAGAGAAGTTCATTCTCGAGGATCAGTTTTATATATCATTTTTTTTTTAAAAGTATAATCAAAGTATCCCATGCTTAATTCATTGATGGTTCATAGTCTCTTATGTGCTTTAATACTTCTTCATATTCATTGTTTTTTTAGAATACGCATGGCCTTGCCTGCTTTAATCTTCCACTTGCTTAAAATCTCGTTATTGTCTATCTTATCTCAACAAAATTCACAATGTTTCACATATCTTAACTTGCATATACCGACATGATGGGGTGTGTATTTATACAACAAATACACATAACATTAACAGTTATATGTACCATAATACATTTGGATCGGAAATATTGAGTAATACATGTCACAAAACATAAATACACGTGCATCAAACTTATAATATATACGTAATGCAAGTTACAAAACAATATAGCCAATTGGATCAAAACTTAAAGTTTTAAGTAATACAAGTGTGATGATATATGGTCCAATAGCATGACTTGAACAACTCTGCCGCCAGCTTTGTTTGGCGCTCCCTTGCCAGCCTTGTTGGGGACTCATGTGCCAGCCTTGCTGGGGACTCTCCTGCCCGCTCGGCCTGACGCACCCTTACCGACCTTTCGTAGTGCGTGCCCGCCAGCCTTGCCCGGCGCCTGTGGGCGGCCTTGCCCAGCTCCTTGCTAGTTGGGCCTGAATTGGACTGGCCCAAGGCTTGACGTAATTCCCCTTGACGTAATTATCCACTATAAATAGAATAGCACCTCCTCCAAGGAGAGGGACTTCAGTCAATGGCTCAGCTGCCACCCATATCTCTCCCCTTGGCTTAGCCGCCACACTATACTTCGGCTGGGTGGCTCATCCGCCATTCTCCGCTGCCAACCACCATACACCACCACCAACACCAAGATGGTTCCCTCCGGCTAAGGAGAACCATCTTAGATCTACCAGCTGATCTAACTTGATGGTTGGAGTGCCCGAGACACAGTCCATGGGACGGTTCTAACGCATCACTTCGATTGTGACTAACAGATCTCTCCGCCTTAGCTGCCATCAAGAGAAGAGAAGACCAGAAAAGACCAGAAGAGGTGTTCCAGATCATGTCACATCAACAAGTAATAAAACAATAACTACAACCAAAATAGAGAATTGATAAGACTCATTTCAAATTATTTGTTTCACTCACACAATTTGTATTTTCTTATCAATAATTCTCATTCAAAATGTGAATTACCAATTACTATACCAGATAGATTAGCTGAGAACATAAGATAAATAAAGTGGATGAAATCATATATCCTTGGAAACTAAATTATGTGTCGATGCATTGCATCTAGCTAGGATGTTTAACTAAGTTTGTAACGAAAACTAGAAGATGAGTTATGATACTAAAATAAATAATTCATCCCTTAAGACCACTCAAGTTTGAAGTCGGCGTAGTAAGGCCTGCTCCCGTCTAGAAATATGGGGTGGGAATCTGTTAGGGTGTCCCATCTTTCATGAGGTCTTCTTTTTTGGACATGTTTCAGGTAATTCGGCCAATACGCGGCTATTTTTGTCTTCTTCTCGAAGACCTCCCCCAACATCATCTTGCAAACGTCTGGCTTTACAATTACTTGTTTGGGATGGCAAATCTCAAAAAACGCATGAAAAAATGGGGAGCTTTCCCACTGGCATTCATCCTGAGACGTTTCAAATGAAAGAGTTTCCACATTCGTAGCAGGAGGAAACTGGAGCCTTGTTTTTAAATCATCAAGGAGGTCCATGTTCAATGGCGGCCTAGGTTTGGAGTCCCAGCAGGGTGCTATATGAACGTAGCATTTCCTCGATAACTTAAGTGCTTCCCTCATCTTAAGAAGAAAAGAAGCATCAAAAGTTCTCCAGGGTATCATCCGAAATGTGATTTCTTCAGGCGTAGTGGATAGTGGAAACGAGAGACTAGGCATTGTGCAGCCATAGAGGCTGAAAAAAAATAATTTTGGAGCGTTAATCTGTATGTTGATAAGACTATCTGGCCAAGACATCAAGGAAAATCTCGTGATGGAAGCACATGCAAAATGGAAGCTTCCCAATGTCCAATATGTCAAATTAAGTGTCAAACTCTTGAGAAAAGGTAATCCGGATTTGATTATGTATAGAGATGCATCGTCTCTCACTAGACCTGGACCACCTAACCATAATTGTGTCACACTGTTTCCTAATGATATTGAATGAGTGTTGTTGAATGAAACAAGACGCATCACAGTGTGTCCCAGAGGACATAGGTTGCAGCTCAACAAGCGAAGATTCGGGACATTATTGATCTCCATAGTAGGACAGTGCCGTCTATCGAATGTAAATATTTCCAATTTGTCAAGACAAGGAAGGCCTTTAACCTTGATGGTGTTCAGGTCCTTGGAACAATATTTTAGCTTTATCTCCACAAGCAACCTACAAGACGACAATATATGGTCAAGTACTTGTTGACTTATCCTCACGCCCCACAAGTGCAGTTCTCGTAGGGAAACACATTTGATTACTGGATATTGATGGCTAGTTGTTATCCAAAGGGCGTGGTTTTTCATATCTGTAGCTGAAACTCTTATCTTTGTTATGTTTACACATGAGAATATCTCATCTGGCAAATTCATCGAGACTTGGTCAAATTTGATTCTGAAGGAAAGCTCTTTGAGATAAGTTTTGGTTGCCACAGAACGTATCCACTGTTCAGCAAGAGAAGCATGCTCCTTTCTCTGAAGTCGGATATTAAGCTCAAAGCTTTCGATTGGTATGTTGTCACGGAGATACCTTATTAAGGTGTTGTCAATATAGACCAACTTCAACTGCTTTCTTCCTTGTTCTTCGGGAACATGAAATCTGAGGATAGGGATGGTAGACCAAGCATGTAGCCATGACTTGGACAGCATGCTGGTCTGGGCTGCTGCATTAACTGGCAACCGCGATTGTATGTGTTGCATCAACTCTGGAACATCTTCTAGTACTTGTGGTTCAGGACTTGGACAGCTTATCATTCCTTCGTCCATATCAACCTGAATCATTCATACCAACATATGATCATCTCTTAGATTAAACATTTTAATTTAAGAACAAAAAAGTATACCAACATCTTATAACTGCCCAAGTAATTGTAGGTAATACCATTTATATATATAGTTACTCTATTGAAAAACCTTTACAATTATTTTGTTTACAATAGTTTGAAATCACCAAAACTAAACCACAATCATTTTCAACTTCGATTCAAACCAAAGTTTTATTGGTTGCTGTCCACAGATGTGCATATCCATCATTATATACAGTCTCCTTAAGTTTTCTTATCACAAATTAATATGTATATTTATATGTATATATGCGACTATAACTTCCACAAGCATTTAGCAAAAACTCATAACCAACACCGCCCAAAAAGAAAGATTGAAGGAAACAGCTCGGGGATACAATTTGAGCGAACCACCAACTAAATCCCTTAGTCGTTCCTCAAATGGCCCACAAAAATATCAAAAAATTACTTTGGATCAGTAAGAGAAAACCCAGAAACACCCAAGATTTGACTGATATCTTCCCCGTCCAGATTCCAATTGTAATTTGGAGTTTGATTGTTGTAGTTTATACCTTAAATTGTGCATATGGAGGATTTACCAGACAGATATCGCATGGTATTTTTAACCTGATATAATATCAGATTATAGAAATATTTCAACCATAATGACTAGTTACACTCGTAATCTCTAATATTAATTTTTTTTATTAGCTTTTATTGTTTTCTTTTTTAGCTTTCAACTTTTGTTTTAATTTTTTGTGGTTTTTATTTTGTTTATTATTATTATTATTATTATTATTATTATTATTATCTTTATTATCTTTAAATATTATTAAAACAGAACCTTAAAATCTAAATTGAAGTAATAAGGACCTTGATTTTATTTCACTCCTATTTCTCCACCATTTGATCATTTTTGATGACATCATCGTCGAATATACAAGCGCCTCAAATTGCAACTTACCTCTTAGGGCATCTTCAACCCACCCCCAAACTCCATTTTTTTCTCCATTTCTTCCCCCATTCTTCTCCAACCCTACCTCATTTCCACCTCTATTTTTACAGATATGAATAGTATTCCCCCATTCATATCTCCAAAAATGGAGATGAAGTTTAGTTGTCAATCTTAGTCCCTCTAATTTTTATTTTATATATTTCTAGTTTATTTTATTTACTAATTATAATTTAAATGCAATATTTAATATTTATAATATCATGTTATATACTAATTTATATTAATTAATCATAAATATAGAGTTTAATTAGTAGAGGGGTGTATTTGACAATATATATAAGTTATAAAAATGAAATATGCTAAGAATATATTTTTTGGGGGTAAAAAATGGGGTAGAAAATGGAGTATGGTTGGAGATGGATTGGAGATGGTCTTACGTTTCATACCCAATTTCATTCCTCACTTTTCTCGATTTTTTACTCCATTTTTTTGGGGGTAAACACTATTTACTCCATTTATGAGGGGAAAAATGGAGATGGATTGGAGATGGTCTTACGTTTCATATCCAATTTCATTCTTCACTTTTCTCTGCACACAATCAGCCATCGTCAAAGGTTCTCAAAGCATATATCCTCCGTCTCTCCTTTATCTTTGAGTCTCTGACAGCCGTTTGTTACCATCACCGTCAGAATGTTGTCAATAATCGGACCTTCCTTAATTGGAAAGGTATGTTCTCTTCATCATATTGTATTAGCCTCTACAGTCATTTAGTATGTGATTATATGTCAAAAATCAAAATGCACCACAGGACCCTTCAGAGCAAACAAAAATTGACAACTTGATGGTTCAACAACTTGATGAAACTGTAAATGAATGGGGTTGGTGCAAATAGAAGGTATCAGAATTCATTATCCAGTTCAAGTGTTAAAAGGCGGCTTCTCATCTCACCTCAGGTTTTGCCATTACCCATTGCTTAGTCTATCGATATTTGACACACACTTACTTAATCGATTACATATTCAAATTCCAATTAATTGCATTGCAGCATTTTCTGGATTCTCTCGGAGCTTACAATGCCCACACAGGCAGGTTAGTTTTCTCTGTTCGACTACATCAAACATTTCAATGCGGATATGTCCCAAACTGGTTTTCTGAAATGAAGTTGCTTCCAAATAAAGATGCAATTTTTTTTCTCATCTTCTAACTACATTTATTTATATTACAGAGACGTTGTAATAGGAATTATGTTAATAAGAAGATATCAGCCATCATTGATCTGAAGCCTCCTCGTTAAGCACTGGTATGCCTAATTAATAGTATGTTGTATGATATGTGTTTAACTCTGTAATATGTAGTTTTACATCTGTCTCTAGAACCACATATGAGCAAACAAACATTCAAGTATCATTGAGGAAAGCACCACAGAGCTTATGTCAACAACCTAAACAAGCAAATTGAAGGAACTGAACTCGATAAAATGACATTGGAAACCATAATTTTGTCTTCATACAACAAAGGTGATATTCTTCCGACCTTCGACAAGGCTGCACAGGTATTGTATGCCATTTGTTGATTTTTTAAACTTGCTTTCAGTGGGTCAGATTTGAATGTAAATCCATTAGTTGGTCAAACCCTTAGATCAGATATGGAACCATGGGTTTTATGGGAGTCTATGAAACCTAATGGAGGTGGAAAGCCTTCAGGAGAACTTTTGGAATTAATAAATATAAGTAAGTTTAACAAATTTGAAAAATTAGCTATATTCAAGGACATAAAATTTAATTTTTATTAATAATTGTTATAATATTGGATATAAAACGTTTAGATTGGGTTTGTTGGGTCTGAAATTTATTAAAAGATTTAAATATAGGATTGATTGTTGAACAATGACAATCAGATACTGGCTTTCCATTAGATTTTCATATTAGCTTTTAGAAAATATTGTTTTTTAGCTAAAAAAGTTATTTTTATTTTTTAGCTAATCAAATGGTATGTTCAGTCACTAGAAAATATTAGCAAATGGTATGTTCAGTCAGTATGATCGTCCTCGCATCGCTCAACTTTTTGAGAAAGCAGGTGTGACAACCCGATATTTTCGAATCAGTGTAATGACCTAAAAAGTCAAGAATTGTAATCTCTTTTAATGTAATGAAATTTGCATCAAAATTTGAATGTTCAAAAGTCTCTATTGGATTACATAAAATGATAAACATCGTATCAAGGGTTTCAGAAATATAAAGAACACTAAAATCCGAGTTATAACGAAGAAGTTATGATCAATCTAAGAGTCACAGTAAAAACCGACAATACTGATAAACGTAAAACACGAAGTTTCAATACAATTATATTTAGCCTTAAGTATCTAAATGAAAGTTGTAGATATCATTAAACCGTATGAGTATATAAAAAGAACGCTCAAATCTGACTTCGTATGAGACAGTTATGATTTTTCCAAGTTCCGAATATAGCAGTAGACAACTAAAATACTCGAAATAGAGATCGAGAGATTTTTAGCCGATACAACCTAAATGAGAATCGAAGATCTCAACAATAGTAGCACAACGGTATAAAGTCTGACGAGAACGGACCTTACATGAGGAAGTTATGGATTTTTAACGGACTTTTCGTGTCCCGGCCCGTTAGAAATAAATAAAAATGAAAATAAAGTCAAAATTTGCCGACAGAGTCTAAACGAGAGTTGTAGAGCATAATCTCACCTACGCGTGGATATAAAGAACGTTAAAAACGGAGCTCGTACGCGGAAGTTACGAATTTTAGAAGTTTTCGACACAAAATCTGAGGCTGTCAGGCCTACCACGACGTGTTGGGTTCCATTGCTCATTTCTTCTCTCTCTCTCGTGCCGAAGCTCTGCGTTTAAACCCCCCGAAGCTCCGGTCTTCATACCCAAGTTCCGAAGGAAGGTTTTTCACTCCCGAGAATCCCGAGAGATTCAACTTTCCCTAGTCGAAGTTCTGCTCAGTTTTCGTTTCACCTTCTTCTATCTATCAGGTGAGTTCATACCCCTACAACTACGTTTTCAAATACTTTACAAATGCTTTTATACACTTTCAAACCGGGGGGGGGGGGGGGGGGGGGGAGGAATACAAGTAAACACACGGTTACTCCCGTGTGGAAAACATTAAGCTTTTACTACACTTATCTTTATATAACAAATCAAATGTCTTTCATATCTATCTTATGAAAACGTTCGCATGCAACACCTATTCAATAACATTTTGTCCTTTAAGAGTAAAAACATGTTGTTATTACAAATGTTATATTTATATACCAAGCTGATACTGCACTAGGGTTTATCATACAACGAATCATACATTTGAGAAAAACTATAATAGGTATAGTTTACTAGATATTCAAGAGATTTTACATACTATAAGTACTATATCAAGGAAATACTTTCATGTACAAGAACAATTGAACTTTTCATACATAAATCTATTTGATACTAAGTTTTGTGAGACATTCAACTTCACGTACTTTCAAGTATGCAGTTAAAGTCCTGTATTATATACCTTAATCTCTTGTAGGGAGAGCGTGATAATTGTGTATAGATCTATACGGGATTGACAATCCCTCACCTAAACTGTTAGCTACAGTTAGACCGGCAGGTCTGGGGTGACAAACGTCATAACATTCCAACGCCTGAAGAACGTTGTTACAGGCAGTCTAGGTCAATAGCATGGAAATAAAACTCACATGGAGTATTAAAAACACGATGATTTACGGGTTTATCAAATGTCTTAGTAATTTCATACATACTTAAATCTGTGATTCTATACATGAAAAACTACTAATGCATTACAGTTTTGGAACTTTTAAACTACCACACACTCATGGAAAAATATTGGGTTTTTCGGAAATAAATAAGTGATTTTATACCAAACTTACAAATGTTATACATAAACGCTTATGAACTCACCAACTTAATTGTTGACACTCTTTCAAAACTACTTGTATTTCTCAGGGATTCAGTAATACAGGTAAACTTCAGCTTTTGGAGAAGTGATGC